CGTTGGAAACCGGAAAGGGTCTAGTAATTACTAATTATAGACAAGTAGCGACGATAAACAAAAAAAAAAAAAAAAAAAAAGTGAGGAAGAGAATGCAAAATTTGAGAGATTTCCAGGGATTGCTAGCAATCAAGAAACAATATGTGTGAAGGGGATGAGAAATATTGCTAGTCATTCATAACAATGTGAGAGAGAAAAGTATGGAAGAAAAATAATGAGTAATAGAGATTGATGAAATTCTCATGAGGGTTTGATTATAAAATCCCATTAATTCAACAGCATTTGCATTTGGATGGTGTGTACTGGGTTCGCGTTCAAGTTGCGATTATTTTGATTCTCGCAATGAGACGATGGGGTAAATCATTCATTGGTATACGGTAGTATTTCTATCCTTCCTATTCATTATTCCGTGGATATGCGGTATGGGCAGATATGTACGTCGAAATGCTATAGTTATACATTATATTTTTGAAATTTCAAGAAATTCCTGAAACTACTGCAGTGTTTCAGCTAAAAATTCTCACTTATAACATGTATAGTAGATAGATTAAACGGGACAGTTTGACTTTCCTTATCCACAAATTGGACAAGCTGGTTGCATTCAGAAAAAATGTAGCAGTGTTATACATCAAAATATAAACTATAATAAACAATGGTTGTTCGCAGTAATTGTGGATTAATTGGTTAACTATTAAAAAATTGTTTTAGACTAAAGTTCAAATGGTTCAGATGAATACTTTCCAGACTGATTAATGAAGGTTGAGGTAACATTCATAATGCTACTTTTGTATCCCAGTGGAAATAAAAGTTATTTGCATATTTCCTTCTAGCGCATTATCGATTTCTCTATGGTTATTAACGTTTTAGCCAATTTTTGGATCACAATTCAGAAATACATGAAATACTAAAACGTCCTGAAGATAGATAAACTTCATTGTATATAGAGGAGTTCCATACAATGCAGCATAACACTCATTAAGTAAAGTTGGAGGGAGTACATTTAACTTTCTGTTGGTTTCGTTTTTTTTTTAATTTTCCTTTTTGTGTTGCATGCCTGTTTATACTCTGTGCTACGTTTTTCTCTCAAAAACATATTTTGTGAAATTGGAGACGCTAAATTTTTAAGGGTGTTGCTATGATAACTCGATTACGGTCGTGGGTGACGTGGTCGTGGACTTATTTGTGGGCATTGTGGTTCTTGTTGGTCATCGCATTAATATACATCCTACGTGGCCCACTCCACATCACGGAATCCCTCGAAAGCGGTACTTAGCTTTTTTTGATGATGTGTCATTCCCTTCGCAACTGATTTTCATAACTTACCATTCCATTTCATATGCTTGCAGCTTCTACTTATTTCAATAACTTAACGCCCAAATTTTACGTTGCGTTGACGGGAACATCGAGCTTGGTGTCCGGCATCATTCTGATATTCGAGTGGTGGTATTTTAAAAAGTAAGTACGTTGAGGGTTGAA